CACGAATGTACCCGCTAATGCCTGAACTGAGCAGCACATGGTACCACGTATGTAATCCTGCCTGCGCTGATGTATCCCCCGAGCTAATTACATTGGTGAACACATCTGCTCCGCCGTTCCATACCTCAGAAGGATGAGCCGTCTGACCACCCGCATTGGAGGAGAATACAGCTTCGATGATTTTGCCACCGCTCTTAACCACTTCTCCGGCCGTTGCATCCACTGCACTGGTTACTTTATCGTTCTCCGAACCAATCCCGTTATAGGCTTGGCTGAGTGTCGTATCCACGACATTGGCAATTTTGAAACGATCTCCTTGTTGAAGCGCATAGGATCGAGCAGCTACTGCTTGAACTTTCAGAGCCTCAGCAGGCCAGGAGGAATATACCTCTGCCCCTACGACAGAGTAAAGGTATTGTTCCAGTGGAACGACATTGACCAATGCTAGATCACCGCTGACGATGCTGATTTCCATATCTCCACGATACGTTCGCTGGGAACGTTCCACTACTTTGATGCCAGTGCTATTCCCTTGTACCAATGCTTTGGATTCAGTACCTGCAATCGTGTAATGCGGAGCTGTTTTAAGCGCATCCGCACTTAATCCCGCATCCTGACGGATGATGAGACCTGCACTATTGTTAACAGTTGAGAGACTTATCCCTGGAATGGCCTCCACACTTTTCTTCACTGAGGATAATTCCGCATCTGTTACAGCTTCACCTACCCATACCGCATATGCTTGGCTTCCTCCACTCAGTAGGAGGACCGGATAAGCACTACTAACTCCTGCTGATAAAAGGTTCGCTTGCGTTGCCTCTGCTTCCTGAAGCGAACCATACGTTCCAGCAGACAGGCGCTTACTTCCGGTCACAGTTGGCTTTTGACCAGCCAATTGAGCTGCTGCTACCTTTTGTACCCGTGTAACAGCTTGTCCAGCCAGTGCCTCTGTTGCATAGTTACCTGTGTAGAGTTGATAGATGGCATTTCCATTCACAGACGTTGTAAACAGCAACGGCTTATCCGCGGTTGCCTGCAACAATTTGGCTGCTGCAGATGCTGCCTTGAAATCCCCTGTTTCCAACACTTTCACTCTGAATCCATCTGCACTGAAACGGACCTGTCCAGCCGGAAGACCTACATTTGCGCCACTTTCCGATTGGATACTCCATTGTCCCGTTGATTCAAGTGTAATAAGTGGTGTAGTTGATTTATACGTACTGCCCAGATTCGCAAACATGGCTACACGGATTGTCTGTCCATCATTACCTGCTGCATACGCAGGCACTTGAAGACAACCTACTGTCAAAAGAGCTGCCGCCAGTACCTTCAATCGACGACTCCACTTCTTCGTTCGTATTGCTTTTCCCACATTCAGACTCCTCTCCATGCAATGCCTTCACTTTATATCGGATTAACACACGTAATATTTCAATGTTTATGGTGAACCTTCAATTGGTAAATGTTCAAATCGTGAACTTTCACAAGGTTCGATTATTTCCCGTCTCTTGGTGGAACAGGCAGACCTAAATGGTGATAGGCAAGATCTGTTACGATCCTCCCCCTTGGTGTACGCTGAATCATGCCAATCTGAAGCAGATACGGTTCATAAACATCCTCAATCGTCTGACTTTCTTCACCAATCGTAGCCGCAATGGTATCCAACCCTACGGGACCTCCCCGGAAGCTGTTGATCATCGATTTGAGCATCTTATGATCAATCTCATCCAGGCCACGCGGATCAATCTGAAGTCGTTGCAAAGCTTCTTCCGCCAGTGTCTGCGTTATAATCCCATCACCACGCACCTGTGCAAAGTCACGTACTCGTTTAAGCAAACGGTTGGCAATCCTCGGTGTTCCACGTGAGCGCAATGCAATCTCTTGCGCAGCATCTCCCACAATCTCCACACCCAAAATCTCGGTAGAACGCGAGACGATATAAGCCAGCTCATCAACCGTATAGAATTCCAAGCGGCTGATAACACCAAACCGATCTCGAAGTGGCGCAGACAGCAAGCCAGCACGTGTTGTAGCCCCAATCAGAGTGAATGGCGGCAGATCCAGCCGAACGGACCGAGCACTTGGACCTTTACCAATCATAATATCCAATGCCGAATCTTCCATGGCGGGGTACATGACTTCTTCAACCGTACGATGCAATCGATGAATCTCATCGATGAACAGCACATCGCCTTCCTGCAGATTGGTTAACAATGCTGCAAGATCACCCGGGCGTTCAATAGCCGGGCCTGACGTAGTTCGTAAATTAACGCCCAGTTCATTGGCAATAATATTGGCAAGTGTTGTCTTACCCAGTCCAGGTGGTCCATATAACAAAACGTGATCCAATGCCTCATTACGAAATTTGGCAGCTTCAATATATATCTTTAAATTTTCCTTCACCTGATTCTGTCCGATATATTCATTCAAATACCGGGGACGAAGACTCAACTCAACATTTTGGTCCTCCATCATCAGGTTCGCGGAAATAATCCGATCATCCATGTTCATCCCTACCTTTTTTTGCAGGCTACAGCTATATTATAATATGCAATTTGTATTATCCCGTAAACAGCATTTGCAGCGCTTTTTTCATCAACACATCAACGGAATCCGCTGTAGTAACATCCTTCTTCAATTTGAGCCATACTTTATCAAGTTCACTGTCAGTATACCCAAGTGCCTTGAGACCTTCACGTGCCTCATCCCAGGCTGAACCACTTCCCGACTCTTCCGATGGAGGAGCGAACAAACCTGTTGCATACGCTGCCGCGCCGAAACTATCCAGCTTATCCTTGAGATCCAGAATCATGCGTTGTGCAGTCTTCTTGCCGATGCCTGGCAATTTGGTCAAGAACGTTAAATTCTCTTGGTAAATCGCTGTAACCACATGTTCTGGTGTACCTCCAGCGAGTATGCCCAGCGCCACTTTGGGACCAATACCGGATACTTCAATCAGTTTGCGGAACAAACGCTGTTCATCCCGTGTCACAAATCCAAACAGCAGCATCGCATCCTCACGCACATGATGGTGAGTGTACACGGTAATTTCGCCTTCTTGCTTAGCGAACGCAAATGGATTCGGACAAAATACGCGATACCCCACACCATGAACGTCCAACACAATATAATCATTCTCTACATGAATGAACTGTCCTCTTAGAAAATCAATCATTTTCGCAATACCTCATTCAACTTGGAATTTAATGTATAAGAGTGCGCATGGCACACGGCTACAGCCAACGCATCCGCTACGTCATCCGGTTTAGGAATGACTTGAAGACGCAAGAACATTTTGACCATCTCCTGCACTTGCTTCTTCTCAGCCTTACCATACCCAACAACAGCCTGCTTGATCTGCATTGGTGTATACTCTGCAATAGGCAAACCCTTCTGTGCAGCAGCAAGTACCATGACGCCCCTAGCCTGACTGACAGACATCGCTGTTGTAACGTTCCGGTTGAAAAAAAGTTTCTCTAACGCTACTGCGTCCGGTTTGTACTTATCAATTAATTGCACCATACCTTCATATACATGAAGCAACCGTTCCTCTTCAGGGGTATGAGCTTCCGTCTGAATACATCCATATTGTACGGGTACCACTTTACTGCCGATTTTATCCACAAAACCAAAACCAACAATCGCAATCCCCGGGTCAATTCCCAAAAAACGCAAAACCATCTCTCCCTCACAAAAGCGAACATATGTATCGTTCATTTCATTATAACAAAAGATAGACCCTGCGGCAGGAAAAACTTTGTCTAACCCATTACTCGTCTTTATTCGTGATTTTTTTCATGTTTATTCGTATTTTCATGTATTTCGGCAAAAACGACAAAAAGGACATCTCTTCGATGTCCATCACCACATTCCACGTATATTGGATTTCTATCACTTAGTTTCGCGAAATACCAATGCCACTGGTCTCCAACCATCTAATTAGTACTTCAGCATCTTAACGTTGTAAGTTAGCACAAAAGATTACCCGCCATTGCGGATTAAATGATGATCTTCATCCACCGCATAGTCACTAAACGTTGAGATTACGCTATCATACTCATCCTTGTCCTGAATCCGGATACCCTGCTGCAATTGCTCCAGCACCCCTTCAGGCAAAGAACTCTCCAACGTCCCCACATCCAACTGAAAAAACGTACGAATAACCTTCTCTTCTGCAGGCTTACCCTCATACAAATTAAGGTTCCCCACAGCATCTATGCTAATATACGCCTGCTGTTTGCAAAGCGGTGAAAGGTCATCTACACGTTGCTTCAAATGCAACTCATCTGATGTTCTAACGGTAGCATCCCATTCCGGATGTTGAACCAGCAGCATCTTCAACTGTGGTCTAGCCATCTTGCCCAACTGTTCTGTCTCCACTCCGCAAATGTACTGTGTTTCCAAAACCACACTCGTTAAATGATCCGGATCAGTATCAAGTTGCTCTACTAACGCCTGAATCTCCTGATCAGATCTAGTCTCCGGCGTAACAGGTCCCATCACACTGGTTGCCTCACTAAAATTAGTGGTCAGCAAACGTTCAATCGCCGATGAGATAGACAATCCGCTGTAAGCCAATATCGTAACTGCAAGCAAAGCAACCGTCATCCATACTGTTCGTTTCCACCGTCGCCAGCGTCTCTTGAATTGTTTCCTGAAGTTAAACGTGTTCACATGAACCCCTTCTATCACTTTTTAAACCTATTGTGACCTAAAGAACGAGGCTTTATGCAAAACTTGTCGTCTGAAGAGTAACCCGTATATTCATGAAGCAAGGGACCATGGGCCAATAGCTGATGGCATATTGAAAGTTATGTTAAGCACACATCGTAATCGTAATCCCTTTAATATCGCAACGTAATAAAGATAAACACAAAAAAAGTACTATCTATAAGTTAGATAGTACTTTTTCGAGATCGGGATGACACGATTTGAACATGCGACCCCCTGGTCCCAAACCAGGTGCTCTACCAAGCTGAGCTACATCCCGTTATATATACCGGCGAGAGGACTCGAACCTCCACGGTTTCCCACTCGATTTTGAGTCGAGCGCGTCTGCCATTCCGCCACGC